TCTTTCAGATCTCCAATGTGACCGGTGAGAACATGGACCTGCTTAAGATGTTTCTCAACCTGCTTTCCTCCAGGACATCCTACCGGGACGATCAGCCTGCTGAGTTTCAAATAGATGATACCTACTCTGTACCGGTACTATGAACACTGATAAACTGCTCTCCCTAATGTATTTTATCGTGTAAATTTAATGCAAAAAAAAAACAGGTCATGTGTTTTTTATGTCTTAGGGTGTGGGAACTGTAGTATCGGGAACTACTTTACGTGGGCTCATACGCCTGAATGACACCATGCTGCTGGGACCCGATCCTCTAGGGAGCTTCATCTCTATTGCTGTCAAATCAATACACCGTAAGAGAATGCCTGTGAAGGAGGTCAGAGGTGGCCAGACTGCCTCATTTGCTCTTAAAAAGGTAGAGAAATAATAAAATCATCCACTGTCTAGTGCAGATGCTTGGCATTGCATAGGTCAGTTAAATGTTAGCAGTTTTTTTTACTCATTAGGCCTTATTGCTGGTCTTGAAAAGTCTTATTCATCTTGATAATAGAAGGGCAGTGAAAATGATGACATGTTTTGTCATATGCTTCCTTCCAAAGATCAAGCGTTCGTCCATAAGGAAAGGCATGGTAATGGTGTCCCCGAGGCTAAATCCACAGGCAACTTGGGAGTTTGAGGCTGAGATCCTGGTGCTGCATCACCCCACCACAATATCCCCGAGATATCAGGCCATGGGTGGGTAGCAGTGACACGCTCTGTGTGTGTTTCTAGTCACCTTAAGGCAAAGGCAGGACATTTCAGCAAAGATTTATAGCAAAGTTTCTAAATGACATTGAACATTTGTATGTATAAATGTTATGGGACTGAAATGGTCATTTTACAACCACAGTAAGCATCAATTCATTCTCCTTTACGTATATATTCCCCCGATTCAACACTCAGTCCACTGTGGCAGCATAAGGCAGACAGCCACCATCCTGTCCATGAACAGAGACTGCTTACGAACAGGCGACAAGGCTTCAGTCCACTTCCGTTTCATCAAGACCCCCGAGTACCTGCATTGTGACCAGAGGCTGGTGTTCAGGGAGGGGCGCACCAAAGCTGTAGGAACCATCACTAAGGTAGCAAAGCCTTCTGGAAGCTGAAGGTTTATGTTGAGTTAACGCTACAGTGATCTGATGATCATGAGCCAGGTTCTAAAGCTGTAGTTGGAAATAATATTAAGATTATGGCCAAAATGTAGAAATCATTGTACGTTTATGTGCTCACAGATAGTTCTTTGGGACTAACGTGTTGTCTCATATCATTTTCAGCTGCTGCAATCCACCAATAACATGCCATCAAACTCAAAACCGCCACAAATCAAAATGCAGTCTACCAAAAAGGCACCGCTGCGAAAAGAGGACGGCACCGTGGTGGCCGGTGACGACGTGGGAGGAGCAGCTCAGCCGGCAGCCTCCAACTCGACACAACCGGTGAGTCACAAGTCATTAAAAGTACTAAAGCTGTATGCTGAATGTACAAATTCTGTGTGTGCGCAGTAGTGCAGTTCCTGCGTTTCTTCAGATTCTGATTACTTACCTCGAAGTTGCTGTTCTGCTAACTTCTGTTTCCTCCTCCTCTTTTTTTCTCATCTTGTCTGTGAATCTATACATTGCTTTGTAATATTTCACCCTAAATTTTAAACTCACCCACATCACTCCTGTACACTCTCTCCATCTCCTTTGCTTTCGTGGCTGGCTCTCAAAGGGAGAGGGAGATGATGACCCTCAGTTAAAGGAGGGCAACAAAGAGAACAAGGTAAACTGTGTTGACAGAAAACAAAAGCAACAGTGAGGCTGAATTGTGGAGACTGGACTCTGGTCTTTGCATTTGTTGTTGTTTTTGGCATTGTGATGCAGTGCAGCGACTGCCTTATTGAGCGGTTTCGTTCTATCTACGTTACAGCCAAAGTCTGGAGGTGGTGGAAGGAGAAGGGGTGGCCAGAGGCACAAAGGAAAAGGCCAGAACAGCAGCACCAACCCCACAGCAGCGCCTTCCTCATCGGGGATAGGGAGCTGCTGAAAAGCCCAAGGGTCCCATTTCTTCCTGTCACTCCACCAAGTGTCTTCATTCCACACACCATGAAGGAAGCAGATGTTTGGAGCAAGACACTCTCCTTAGTCTTATTACTCCTCGCCTTTTTTTTTAGTTTTATTGGGTTTTTGTTTTGTTTTTTTTACACCAGGTCCCATGCTTTTTATTTAATTATTTTTGAAAGGGAACACAGAGGGGTATGTCTCACACTAAAAGCATACACCTCCTAAGCATTTAATATCAGCTGCCTTTACCATTTTGAATGGCTTGGGTGATTGAAAGCAGTGTGGTTTTTGAGGTTAGCCTCACTCAGGATGATGAATATATTTAATTTTATCCATATTTTATGCGTGTCTGAAAACAGTCCTCTGGCTCAGTTTCAGGGGCAGGGAGGAAGGATAAACCCAAGACAAGGGTCCAATACCCTATATTTACGAGCAGCTATTAGTGACACCCATGAATTCCCTGTGTATTTGCAATGATAAACAGTTGTACTATTTATACAGCATTAATTGCCTCTTAGTTTTACTGATTGGAATGATGTACAAAATGTATGCAAATCACAAATGTAGCAGAGTTGATTTAAGATTCTAGGTATACAGAAAATATAAGCTGTTTTGTTTTATAATTATTTATTTGACATGCAGAACATTTACTCTTGGATGGTCTTTATCTTTTGAGATAAGTTCACTTGCACACCTAGATTCAGTAGTATGTGTCATTCTTCCATCGTCGGTCTATATACAAACCTTAAAATAGTGTTAGTACCAATACAGCACAGTTTCTCACTTCAGCAGCTGCTACTGATTGTAATACTTGCCGTACTTGCAGTGCTACTTGTAATTCTCATATCCCATGTGTTATGGCTTGTTGCTGTAGACATATTGTGACATTTTAAACCCTTGCTACAAGAAAAGGACCATTAATAAACACAGTTTACTGAACTTTTCAACAGTGCTGGCTATTGTGTTTCCGTATTTTCAATATTTCTGACATTATTTGCAGTGTTATTATTTGCATGGATCTAACCCCTCATTTCTTATTATTTTGTAAGGAAAATGGGAATTAAATTTATTTAACCTCCTAGGACATTTTGGGTTGTCTAGACCAAAATACTAAATTTTGCTCTACAAGGGCCTGATATCCACTTACGAGGACATTATACTGCCACTGTTCCATCAAAATTTAAAACGAATATCCTCATACGTGGCTCTCATTTTTCTTAGGAACAAAAATCGGGTAAAAAAAAAAATCAAAAAAAAAAAATCTGGTGTTTCTTTGTTTTTACATTCATCGGGCCCTGATATGCCCAAATATCAAAGAGAAATTAAAAATGCATACCATGGAAGAGTTTGGGTCTTAGAAGGTTAAACAAGTACAAGTAGAAATGAAAATACAGTATATACTGTACAGAGTTTGTACAGTTCTAACCAGCTTGAAGGTCAACATTTGGTATGATCACCTTTACTCTTTAGCACTGCCTGAGTTCTTGTCATTTCTTTTAGTAGTCTTCAGAAATAGTTCTCCAGGCTTCTTGAAGGACATTCAAAGCTGTTCTTTGAATGTTTTCTGCCTTTTTGTTCTGTTTTCCATCAAGATGAGCCCACACTGCTTCAGTTATGTTGAGGCCTGGGCTCTGGGAAGAAAAATCCATGATTGACAGCATTCTATTGTGTTTTTCTATCCAGGTATGCTTTTTGGGGGGCACTGTGCTCAAAATCATTGTTATGTTGAGGTTGTTGACAGATGCTTTCCAGATGGTACTAATGCTTTATAAATCCATCAATATTGACATGATCCCCTACACCACTGGCTGAAGTGCAGGTCAAAATCCGGACACAGTTGCCACCAGTTTTTACAGATGCCTGCAGACACTCACTGTTGTACCCCTCTCCAGACCTCCTATGTACCAAACGCTTCAAATGTGCAGTTATCACTCTATCAGACCTGTTGCCACTGCCTTTCTGTCCAGCTGTTGTGTAACCCCAGGCTTTTTCTGCCAGTTTCCCTTCCTCAAAAATGGCTTCTTGACAGTCAGCCATTCTTGAGACCATTTCTGACGAGGCTTCAGTGAACAGTAGATGAATCAACTGCAGAGCCAAATGCAACTCTAGTCCTGTCAGGTCTTTGCTGGAATTTTTCCCCCTCTTAGTTCAGAAAAAGCTACTTTCAGATACTGTTCTTCTGTTGTCATTTTTGAGACCTGTCACTTCTTTTGTGCCCCTTTTGTCAATCTTCTTAAGGACACATTGCACACCTTGCAAACCTTTGGCTTATGGATTCGCTTTGTTGGCTATTTTATGTCTCTCACACTGCTATCCCTGGCATTTTTTGTAGAGAATCATTTGTATGTTTTTTGTGACAGGCAGCTAGTAACAAAGTACCTAAAGATGCAATTTAAAAATGGATCTTTGCCATGTTGTCAGCATAGACAACAGTGGTTCATCACATAAGTTAGGTGTCAGTGTCATAAGGCTTAACAATAAAACATTTCCTCTGAACTGAAAATGAGTGAAAAAATAGCCAAGGTCCAAAGAAAAAACACTTTGTAAGACCTTCACAAAGACTGCAAAACTATTGCTCAAGACCATTTCAGAAAAGTTTAAGTCTGTTTCATTGGAAGCAAAGTGACAAGAAGAAGAAAAATGATTTGCCAGAAGAGATGGTTTTCTTCAGTAAATCTTTAGTTAAATTTTGTACAGCAGGACTTAGAGCGTTATGGATTGGTGAAATATTATTTACTGTAAATTATATTAGTGAAAAGAAAGAACTGTTAATTTGACAATTAAGTAAAAAGTCATGTAGACCTAAGAAACAGCTCTAAGTATTTTCTTTAAGTCTAAGGGATAAAAATCAAAAGAACAAAGTCAAAACCTTTGTCTTAAAAACAGTAATGAACATGTTTCATTACATGTAACACAGCTCACTGAACTTGATATAGTTTATTTCTGGATGTTTATGTCAAAGCTAGAGATCAGTCTGTAAAGCTGTATGTAAAATACAGATAAAAAGTCCTATGTTTGAATTGCCTTAATGGTACATATAGTCACAAGCATATACAAAAAAACATTACAAAGTATAGACTTGTATGTGTAGTTATTTTTTATACATATATAGGTGTAACACAAATTATCTGCTTCATGTACATTATATTATACAAGACAGACGTTTTACTACCACTGCTTAGGTAGCACACATACCCATAGTTTTATATCACAACTTCACAAGGCTTTACTTGGCATGTGCAACATTTAATGAAGTATTTTGTGGAATTTGTGACACTGAGGTAAAATACATTCCACTTGAAAATAGTTTGTAACTTTACAGCTTTGTGTTTAGTAATGTTCTAGTTTGGCCTTAATGGAATGGAATTTAGGATAATGTTACAAAAACTTGTGTTCGTCATGGCAACATTATGAGCAGAACAAAAGAATAGATTGTATTTCTCACCCACTCATGCACCATGAGCTGCAGGTACTGAAAAAAAATGCTGTTCAGTCATATGTAAGTCATAGTCTGTCCTAGATGTACAAACTCTTTCTATGGCAGGAGTGTGTAAGATGTTTACATAGATATATATGCATTTTAAACCTTGCAGTGAATCCTCCAGTACTGGGTATTGATCAGTTTAAATTATGTACAATGATGTGCACATGCTTCAGCCAACACGAGCCAGTTGAGTTTCAGTCATTTGGGTGTTACCATTGTCCAAAACTGACACAGGATGAGAGGGTGAACCGGTTGGTGAAGTAGTCACTTCTTTTAGCAGGCTGACAGTAGTGTCTATATTTCTTGTCTCTGCACTTTTTTTTAACATTTAAAGAACAAAAAAAAAAAAAAAAAAAGGCTAAGCTATGACTTTGAGACCAAGTCGTAGGTTTCAGCCATTTTTGCTGCACATTTATCCGTCAATGTCCCAGCTGAACAGGTGATGTTTCACCAACATATCCTGCACTCCCTCTTTCAGTGGCTTCTGCTCCTTTTCCTGGGACATAAATGAAATGTGGAAAGCTTTTACTTGAAGTCAGAAGTTAGAAATGCATCGCTGATAGCAACACCTGACAGAAACACTAATCAGCAATTTTAATGAAAATATGTTTTATTATCTACCTAAAAGAATATTGCCTTAATTAAAAAACAAAACAAAACAAAACAACACAACGAGTTACCATCTGGAGTCTGAAGGGGAAAAAAATTCATGATACTGACCGCACATGATGACTATAGTTTCGACAATCAGCATAATAATATAAAAGTGAAATCAGTAGATCTCATAGCGATGAGGCTTTTTTCCCCCCAGAGGAGACAGTCTTACTTGCAGGAAGGAGATGGCAGCGTGTCACTAATAGCACTAGCAACTGCCATTTCTAGTCTACTTCTACAGTGACATGGAAAATTTTCCTCTTTCAAAGATTTATTCTACAAATGTGCCACCTCACTCTGAAAATGAAGGGTAAAAGAAGACAAAGAACACTAATACCTACGCTAATCTACCGACAGTCTGATGAGCAACATTACCTAGAGATCCCAACTAAAGAGGTGATGCTGAACCAGCACTTCCATAACTTCTGCTTTCAGAATAGCAGACTTCTGAAACAGTATAAGTCATGATGTTTTTCTTCAATTAGTTCTAACAAGTCATCCTTGATAGTAAGACTGGCTCACAACCGCTCTATATTGAGAAGCTGTCACATGCTCCTTGACTCACCTCTTTTTTGTCGGGAAGCTCACAATCTTGGGAGAGACTGAAGGCAAACTTTGACAGAACCCTGAAGAGAAAACAGGTTTGTGAATCATTATCCTGATTGATACACAGCTTCACTCTGTTTAACTTTTACCCTTCAAGCTTCTTTTACATGTATATTCCTGTTTTTACACGACTGAATTCTGTGTGGAAAATGCAAAAGATGGCTTGTGGATAAGATACAGCCAACTTCAAGAATTTAACACTCGGTAACCATCCATGATTTGAGCAGACTGACCTGAGCTCACACTTGATTTGAACCCATCCGGGGCTACGAAGGAATGACCATGGGTGATACCATTTTTCTACAGCCGCCATGCTGGAGCACAACACCTCCAACCATAAGTGCAGCACCTGCTCACTGAAGAGAAACATGTTAAGATTCAAACAGACTCTGTATGAAAATATGATTCTACAGAGTGACTTTGATGATTTCAACTCTACATGCATGTGTAATGAAACTTACTTCAGGCCAACACACACAAGAGACCTAAACTTGACATCCATTTGGGCATGTGCTGCATCATGGCTCATGTTGACTGACTGCACTGCCTGAGAAGGTAATCAAAGGGAAACAGTCATGCACTTTATCAGTCCTCAGTGCTACACGGCAACTTTACAGACTAGAAGCTACGCCTCATATTACTGACAAAACACTTGGTGATTAATAAATAGTGTTCACTCACTCTGTAAAGCAGCTCCTCTGGCGTTAGTACTTTTCCATCTTCATCTAACCTAGTAAATCCCAAAGACAACCACTTGTTACTTCCAAATCTCTACCAGCAGTAGTGCAAAAAGCACACAGTGCACTGAGCATACAGTTAACGGTAAATGGCCCATTTATGTTCTTAACAAAGCATCCATGCAATGCTAATTAAAGTCAAATGCATCCCTGATTGCCCCTGAAGAACATTACAATTTGGGTTATAGCAATAGCAAAGAACAACACTTTCTGTACATCTCACCTGTAGGTTTTACACAGGACTAGCCTTGAGTAAACAGAATTGAAGTCCCTCTCTACCTCCCTGCTGGCCGCCTGAGTAAAAAGAAGAGGATTTAATTTAAATTTTCAGTTTGACAGATGCATGTGTGATACATGGTACTATGATGACAAAACGTTTTCCTACTTCCTCTATGAACAACCACGGGTGACATGGCCCTCCAAGTATAGATGGCTTCTTCAGACCATGCTGAAAGATAGCCTTCAGAGCTGGACATAGAGTCCCTCTGGCCAGGTCTGTCACTGCCTCTGTCACAGAGTCGTCACCTGCTAGTGAGTACTGAAGACATGTACGAGATCATCAATCACTGTTGAAGACACTGTATGATTCGACAGTCAGGGCATTACAATAATAAAGAAGCAAAGACAAAACCTGGTGCATAGTTGATGACATCGAACACTGGAAGAAACATCAGCTAACTGGACAATTTCAAAGTGCTTAGCTTTAATTAAGAGAATAACGTAAGAATGTGCATACCTCCTTGCTCCTTTCATCAAGAATCTCAACAAACTTTGCTGGAAACCAGCCTGTTAAAGACAAAATTTATCATACAGTGAATAATTACTTACTGATCGTTTATATCAGTTGTTTCTATTGTTACATTTTACTTATGCATTTACTTTAACTTGATTCCTTTTATAATTTTATCCCATATCTTTTACACAATTTTACTTATTTTGCACATTTTTATTATTATCACTTGTATAATTCTTTACTTTGTTTTTCATTTTTAAATGTGGAATGTAAAAACATCTGCCTTTGGATCAGCTTTTGAAAATTTTAAATGTGCTAGATCAATAAAAAAATTTTGGCTCTTTATATTTAAAAAAAAATATTATTATTTTTTTAAATCCCACATACCTCTAAGGCTGTTGAGTTCACCAACCCAGCAATGTTCGTCCTTTTGCGAAATAATCTGAGCAACAGAAGAATACAGCAGGATGAGACACAGAGACCAGACGGTGTTAAAGCTGTGCTTCTTTTTTGCCTGCATTTCTGTAAATTACGACTCACAGTGATGATGTCATTCTTTCTAAAGCCCAGTTCATCATCATCATGACGTTCAAAGTCTAGCAAAGCCTTTGCCCGTCTCCGTCGGTTGCGAGATACTACAAGAAAGTTTTCATGATCCCGCTGATGACTCTCCATGGAGTAGTCTGGAGTCAGATCCTAGACAGATAAAATGGAACGGGTCGATATGAAGTCAAAATGTGAGAAAATAATAATCTTAAAATTAATTCCACAATTTGGAAGTATTATAATGCTACAGACAGCAAATGAAAGTACAGCATGGCTGATGCTCTGTTTATTTTGGTTGATTCGTAGTTCAGAACAGGACATAAACACTCACAGTGCTGGAGTGGCGTGGATCCAGACAATGGAAGTGCTCTGCAATGCGGGATATGGCCTCTCGCAAGGAGGCCACCAACTCAGTCTGCTTTATGTTCTTTGACTTCAGAGCTTCTGCTTCATCCTCCCCAAAAAGCAGGGAGGTCAGGGTGGATTTCCTGCGCAGCGACTGCCTCCTCACCACCTAAACATTTATCAATAAAATCTCAATTTTTTCCCCTCTTTTTGTTTAGAAGAAAGTAAATATACAACTCCTACTCTCCCTGTCTAAACCACATGACTAATAAATTATGCCAATACTATAATGACTGACCTTGTTGAGATTGGTGTTGAGTGTTGTGTTGTTGCCATTGCTGAGCTGTGCCTGTTCATTTAGGATGTAGGCTAGGTGCTTGTGTCTGTGAGCTTCCAGAGTTTCTTGGGAGAGTGTCCCTGCTAGCCTCATAGCCTCCCCTAGAACTGCAGGTGCGTCTCTCAGCTGGCTCGGCAAATCCGAAAGAGTATTAAAAATGGATGCAGAGTTCTCTGATGACACAAGTTCCTCCTCCTGGAGTCAAGAAGTAAATTAAATAAGATCAGGATTAGGATGATGGCTTTATCTTCCATCCTAATTGCTCTCCCCCAAAGAAAAAAAAATCTAATTGGTAACTGCACACACCGACTAAAGAAAACAATAACAATAAATGTAAAGCATTCAAAAAAAATGCAAACTGCATGAGGCTATTGAGATTCAGCAGAAGTACTGTGGCTAACCTTAATCTTGAGCATGCCCAGTGTCACCTGGAAAAGCACAAGTGACCCTTCATAGAAGAGCAGATCCCAGATTCTTAGGAGCAGACGGATATCCACCACACTGGCAAATGATGTCAGGAACCAGTGCAGTGTGATCAGTGACAACTCTGGATGTTCAAAAAAAGAAGATGATGTTACCTACTGTATACAATGTACAGTATAGGGTGCAACTCACAACCCTTTTTCACAACCCAAGGACTAAACTCTCATCATCTTTCTTGATGCTTGATCCTACCTATGTCATGCTCCTGCAAAAGGCGGTCAAGGGCCGGCAGGTACTGAACAATAAGTTGGCGGAGAACTCTCTGATCCGTTTGAACGCCCAGCAGAGTGGAGGAAAAGTAAGATGGAGGAAGAAGATCTTCGATCAGGGCGCACATCATCCATAGTGCATCCTCCTCCTCGAGAAAGAGCAACAGGCAGGAAACAACCTGGATGGATGAGAGATATGAGAAACAATGAGAGCGTAAAGAGGAGAATACCTTCTATGCTGAATCAGCTGCTCTGAGTAATGTAACTGATCAGACAGACTCTATGTATGTGTTCTTACCATGCCAGTTCCCTGACAGTACCCAATGTCAGGGTAGAGCCATGCTAGGCTTCTCAGTACACGTCTCAGCCTTGGCACTCCAACACTGGTCAGACTATTGAAACACGCATTGGTTGGCATAGTCCGTAACAAGTCCTTCTCTATCTGAGGAACAAAAGATTAAGACGGGATCATCCCATTATTATTTGAAAGATCTTTAAGGATTCTGCAGAGCAAATGAAGAAAAATAGTGCAAAACACGCTAATGCTTGAAGTCTAATCTCCAAATGTGTCAGACAGACTTAATAATAATTACAATAATAAGTCTTCACACATTTATACAGTTAGGCATTTTACCTGTTTAGCAACTGTGGTGTCATCATTAGAGCTGTTCTTGATGATTTCTCTGTAAGAGATCTCAGAGGTCCTCTTCTTTTGAAGGGCTCCAGACAGACGCATCCAAAGCTAGGAGAGGAGGGGGAAAAACGATGTTTCAGTAACATCACTATATAACTAGCTTGCTTTAACAGTATTTTAGACTTCTAGTCAATGCTACAAGAAACAACACTGCTGGTAAAACTTACCTGTGGTCTCATACTATGAGGTATTCCTCCTAGCACCAAGGAATGCAAACGCTCAGAGCGTGGAAGGACAGGATCAATAAGATCCCAGGTCAGGTCACCTACTGTGTGGTTATGGGTGAACTCCAGGTGGGCTTGCCAACGCAGTCGCTGCTGGGGGTCTTCACGCTGGGGCGAGCCCTCAGTGCCCAGCCAAGACTTAGGCTCCCCACCATCTAAGAGAAAGTAATATATTCAGCCTTAACTTCAGCTTTAGTTTGTTATCTGTGAGGCTCTATATTAAAATTGTTATAACTTGCAAACTCTTGGATTAAGGAGAACAATAAAATGGAAAATGGTACCAGCTACAATACTGTGGGCATGCACTGCAGAGATATGAAAGCTGCTTCACTTAAAACAAACTCAGCTGAGTCTCCAGGAGGACTGGAGAGAGTAGTCTACTTTTGCATGAGTTGTCAACCAGCACACTTCAGAGAAGCAGAGAATTCTGCTTTCATCATTCATGACATTGGAACCATAATTGTGTGTATTTGGATTGTTTTTTAAAATCACTAAAATTTGGCTGATAGATTAACAAAACCTTTTTCTGGGGTTTAAAACTCAAAATACACACTCAAAGACGATTCAATAAATAGCCTTCTTCATCGTCATAATAGGTCAAGGCTGGAAAAACCCTGAGATCACATGCACTTCACCTACATAATAGAGCTACTATGCTCATATCTAAAATAAAAAAAAAAAAATTCCCTACTGCGATTCACCAAATGATGATAAAAAAGTTTTAAGACAGAAAAGAATTGTCTGTGTGTGTGAATGAGAGAGAGCAAAAGAGAAGTCATGGATAAATGAAATACCCTCTGTGTCCACCCTAAAGCCAAATTCATCATACTGGAGTTCAGGCTGCTGTGAAGAGTCTTTCTGCAGAAACAAAACAGTGACATGCATTTAATCGGGGAACATCTCATAGTAGAAACATGACTATAACAAACAAATGTGGCTATAAAGAAGTGAGATTAATGGTTTCAGTGCCATTAAACGAGCAGTGTTTTAAACTGACGAGATCACCATGGTAACTTTTGCTGAACAACGTTACCTTCGCCCAAACAGGCTACAGTAGGTGTTTTAGATATAAACCGGCAGCACAAAAACACATTTTAACTACGTTTTTCCTCTCAATTTAAAAGTAACCTCAGATACATTATATACAAACCTGTGGGTTATTTAATTGGTGATTTAAAAACTAAATATTTATGGTTAGTCGTAAATACCTGATAATGAAACTGGTAGAACACAGAAAACAAAAACGATAAGTCTACTGATATTCATACCAAACCAATTCATGGATTATACACAATCAAAAACTTTTATTTCACTTTGACTTGGGCAAACACTAAATTCCACCCCTCTTTCACTGTGGGACCATAACTTTGAATGCACTTAATTCTTTTAATATATTCTTTATTAACCTCCACAACTCACATCTTTAACTGAAGTAGGCAGCAAGCATTTGATTAGTCTATTTTTTTGTTGTTGAAGAAAACTAAAAAAAGATGGATGTAGATGTGTGACAGCCTTTAATATTTTTTTCTCAATTTCTAAGATCTGAAATGTTCGATTTCTCAAGAAACTTGTTTTATCAACAATGTGGGAAACCATATTCTTACTTGATGGTACTTGGCCAAAATGTCCTGGGGCCACATGCTTGGGGTAAGAGCCGAGAATGGCCCACCAGGAGCTGGTGTGTAGGTACCTAAAAGAAAAAAAAAAGGTCTTATCCATCTTTCTATTGCCACACACACACACACACACACATGTTAACACACACGCACGCGCTCACACACACACACACACACACACACACACACACACTAAATCCAAAGTTCTGCAAAGAAATTACATTTTGCAAATATACCTGACATTTTGCTGATTGAGTTCAATATGGTGGGACACCTGGGAGTAAACAAGTCAGCTGATAGCCACTCTATAGAAAAGAAACAGATGCTGAGAATGAGTTGGCAGTTTAATTTCTAGATCGTCAACATTTGCATTTTTCAGAACGATGCTGAAGCTAGTCAGTCCTCCAGCTGACAGCACTCCATATGTTTGTGGGATAATCTCCAGACACAGTGGTGCACTGAGAATAAATGACCTTTACAACCACTAACCACACCAAGTTAGGTGACATTATAAATGTGTTTGACTTCACTGTTTCAGCAGCAAATGTAATGTTTGAAATCATTCGGATACCATAATCTGTTACTCAGGACCTGTGTAATGTAAACCTACCTAACTGCTAAACAAATACGGCATTCCTCAAACCAATCAAGTACAAAGAAATTGTCCAACAGACCAACAACAATGTAACAAGGCAATGCCCCTTCTTCTAGAACGAACTCCAGGACATGCAGAGCTTCGGCACAAACACAGAGAGGAAAAAAAAAGAAAAAAGAAAAAGAAAAAAAAAACGAGATAAAGAGAATTCTTGTTTCTCTCTTCAATGCCATATGACTGCTGTAAATACCAGAGGCTAACTATTCTACTAAACTCTTTGTGTGTGTACAAATGTGTGTTGTGATGCTCTAAATGTAGAGCGCACATCTTGGGGTAAATTGAACATTCTGTGAGAAAACCATAAAATGACTTGCGCCTACAAACACACAACAAAGACTTAACATACCATGTATTTATGAGCTTTTGTCTGCAAGATTTTAGCCTTTGCATTAAAGCTAAAAAAGTGACTGTTTAAGCATATAAATAAACTACATGGCAAATATTGGCAATGAAGGGGAGCAAAGTGGGCCATCCCTCTACAGCACTGCGACAAATACCATGTTCTCATCTAACTGTTGGTACAAAGTTGTTAACTTCAGTACAGCCTTTCTGTATTTTAGATATTATTATTAACAATGGTGTTTCCATAGGCTAATATTCACAACTTTAACTCAGGTCCACACACTTTGCACACTATGTAACTGCAGTGGGTGAACGTGTCCTTCACCCACTGTCTGCTCCGGTATAATATCCACTCTAATAAAAATGTAATAAAATAAAATAAATAAATAAAACAAAAAGATTAACAAGAGAAGTCTACAGAGTCTGTATATGTTTCGCCCTTAAGGCATTCAGACCATGATTCTGCTCACTATAAAACAAAACAATCAACAACAAAATAAAAGGACATTTTTCTAAAGTCAGAATGGTCTAGAGCAGCGGTCCCCAACCCCCGGGCCTCGGACCGGTACCGGTCTGTGAGTCGTTTCTTACCGGGCCGCGAGAGTTGAGGCTCGGGTGTGAAATGTATGGTTTTCAGGGTTTTTATTGGTTTTCAGTGGTTTTTTTGTTATCGTTTTTATCGTTAACTCTGTTTTCCTGGGTCTTTTCACGTGTGTTATGAATAAATCTTTTTTTCGGTACCGGTACTAGTTTTATTTTGTTGTATTTATCCACGACACCTTAAAGGCCGGTCCGTGAAAATATTGTCGGGCATAAACCGGTCCGTGGAGTAAAAAAGGTTGGGGACCGCTGGTCTAGAGGACACTGATTTATTTACAGCCTTTAGGTGTACATTTAAACAGCACTGTGCTTGGGAACAACCCAACATTTTGCTGGAGGATTTGTGATGAAACCTGACTTTAATGAAAAGATGCAGTTGGTATTTTTCCCTTTACAAAACAGAAAGCTAGAAAACATTTGGAGTAATTGTGCGATGATTCTGGCTGAAGTAATCACTGCAGCATTTCTAACAAAGTACAGATCACATAGGCATATCAGGAAGATATATGTGTAATGGCCGATATATGGTTATTGGACAACTTCAAATGTCCCTCTAAAATGATGGATTCTTGCCATTAGCATCTAAGAAGATTTCAAGTCTCAGTTCTGTCTTTTGCATACAAATAGTAGAACACTATATATGGTTTGTGTTTGATAATGTTTTGTGGGCAAATGCAACAAGCGAGTTGTTGCCCCAGAGAAGAAATAATACAGTATATCAGTAAGACAAACCACTACTTGGAATCTAAGCAACTACAAGCCACATAACACTATAACAACCATAACCTGCGAAAAGAGGCTCGCCTGCATGCAAACACGCTGCCAAAATGATTCATTCTAGCAGCAGGCTTGCGGCATGAAGGGAGATTTAGGACTTAAGAGATGAGAAATCAATTTGAGGTCTGGAGGATGGCCAAGTGTTTTCAGGGAAGCTCTGTCTGACTGAGGGGAGGCCTGGGATTTTAGAGCTTCTCCTTTACAAGAACATTAACAGTTTACACCTGCCAAAGAAAACAAAACATTACAAAATCCATCCTGCAAACTGTTGCACATATCAGTAATCTGACAGCAAAATTTGTCCACAAACCTGAAACAAACATTACGAGCAAGTTCTGAGTAACCCACTATGAATCCTTATTCTCAGAATATGAATCCTTATTCTCAGAATATGAATCCTTATTCTCAGAATATGAATCCTTATTC